GCTTGCATATCTCCATTTAGCTGAGTAACGGGTATCTGATAGTCGAGGTACTCGACTATAGCGTTCTTCCTTGTTTTAATTGTCTGCGCTAGCGCTATATAAAGCCCTTTATTAAAGGGTATGGGGCTTCAGTCTCCTTCTAATTCAGTAATGAATTAGATATGTTATGAAATACTACAGGAAAGAAGGGATCACTTAATTTGTACTTTGGCTTACAATTTTTATGAATGGGACCCATGTATTTTCCAGAAAATTTATCAAAATATTTGTCCAGGTCGTCAGCGTTGAGATAAGGATTATATTTATGTGCTTATGTGATACGGCACATGCAGTATGCTTCTGCACTTTTGTTGTTAACGACGTTGAAGACGATATTAGGCATGTTCTATAGTTTTCAAGAACAGCCTCAATATCGGCATATATCACCACCGGAGGAGATAATTTTTTGTGAAAGCCCTTAAATGAAGTTGTAGTTTTTGGTTCAGGGTAAAACGAGGTCATCTTTCCGCATTCAAGTTTGTTGTGGGTAGTATTATTAGCTGTGAAAAACTGTAGACAGTTATCACAAAAATATCCTCCTGATTTGGCCTTGGAATGCTGTGAGTAGCATAATCTTTTTACACTTATAATGTCAGCGTAATGCATACTTTCTTGGTTTACGTTACTTATTCCCAACATATTGATGTGGTTAGTTCGAATACACTTAGTTCTAAACGTTGGTCCGATAATTTTGTCACCATCAGCATCGATCTCATAAATATTTATACTAAAATCTTTATTATTTTTCTCAAAATGAATAATCCCTTTATTCGTGATTGGAAACTCGATTTCTGAAAAATCCAATCTTATTCCGTCATATACAATTATTTCGTTATTAATATTAATGTGGTAAGTTGTGGGCTTTGTTATTTTCTCTCGTGAATACTTTTTTTTGCTTTGCTGTTGTAAAGGTAGCACTCTCATGAGTTTTGTTAGCTATGAATGCCAGTATGCACCATTTGAAACAAAATACGTCAGTATTCCGTACGTTTATAAGTCCATTTCGGGCTCTTATATTCTTCGGGGCCTGTATGTATCCGCTAGCAGAAATGTTTTCTAGCTTGATTATAGTAATTTCAAAATAATTGAAATTTTTTTTTGTCCAACCAGAGTCTTTTCCTTGAAACTCACTGCTCGATGCTAATAAGCTATCTACTGCCATAGTTCATCGATAATGTTTTCATTTTGGTATACAGATTTATATGATGTCCCAAAATGTTTTGTTGTTTCAACAGTAACTCCTTCGTCTGTTTGTTTAATATAGGTACCATAAACTCTTAGGTTGAATTTAATGGCTCTATATTCTATCATGCAATGCTTTATAATTTCAATTATATATTTTTGGCAATGATGATAAAAATCGTTTAAATCAATAGTGTTTTGGACTGTACTATTGATTCGATATGATTTTACAGGAAAAACAGTTTGAGAGTTAAGAAAAATTATATTTTCATTATTTTTTACTTCTCTGGCTGATGCATTTTTATGCTTATCGGTCAATATGTGTTGACGTTCCCTTAATGTAAGATATTTATCACCACAAGTAGGACATACAAGTTCTAATTTAAAATCCTTTTTATTTTCGCTAATCTTAGCTTTTTTTCCTTACCCTCATCCATTCTCATCCGTTTGAAAGCATTTGATGATGTTGTGGATGATCGTCCAGATGATTTTGCCTTCTGTTTTGTGGTTGCCGTTTTTCAACATTCATTAAAATATTGAAGGCATTTTTAGGTCCATTACAATTTCGATAGTGCTCGTCAAATTTATAATTATGAACTAAGGTAGAGCATAAGTCACACCGTATTTTTGATTTGCACATTTAAACCTCGAAGGCATTCCGAGGCTTTGAGCACTGAGCATAATGAGCTTCAAACTCACTCATCTCCACATTTTTGGTGCACAAATCACAAGCAATGAATGACTCAATTTTTAGGGTTTTAGTTTTAATTTTTTATTCAAAAAATATATTTTTATATGTTGTAATGTTGTTAACAATTTTCACCCACTCGTTAAAAAGGTAAAAAGCACGATAATGTTCTTAACAATTTTCACCCACTCGTTAAAAAGGTAAAAAGCACGATTAGAATTGTTAGGCGCGATTACAAGGATCGACGTGGATCTAATTATTTTATTAGAATACAGTACTGAGGCATTTGAAGAACTGATCCTGAGCAATTTGAGTGGTGTCATTTTTATAGTCTAGGATGTTCACTTAACAGGTTGACATCTTCAGGGAGTGCATACAGGCATCTTGTACTCCTAGAACTAATCCAATTGGTTCTCGAACATAAGGAGCAGCCCAATACCCCAGTAGAATGGTTATTAGAAGGAAAACGATCACAAGGATTGATAACAAGTTACCGGGGGTGAACGTGGTATAGGAGGGGTCGGATGTAGGTAAATATCGAAGGTGTGCAACTTCGACATAGGTTAAGGAAAGGCAATCTCTGTGTAAGCAAGATATGAATAAATGGTCAGTTAAGGTCGGGCCAGCATTGGCATAAGATGTCGCGATGCAACCATTCGAATTTCCTAAGCCTTAAGCTAAGAGTAGCTATTAAAAGCTGTTGCGGAGGTTTTTTAGGCGGTTTTAAATGTATTTTGTATGAGTTGTTTTTAATTGCAAGCGTATACTCATCATAATCAGTGTTTTTGGTATTCCCTCGTTATCTTCTGAGAATGAGCAGGAGAAAGTGAACGTGCGTACCCACGAACCCGAATCTCACCCCCTACCCTTGAGTCCTTGCTCATGACGCTTGTGCGCGAAGGTGTGAAATTTTAATTTTGTGTGTTTTGTTGAAAGTGTGCCATCTTTATTTTACAGCAGTGAAAATTATATTATTGAAATAGGGTTGGAAAAAGGCTTTCTATTGACACCAAATTTCTTTTCTTTTAGTGAGGGGGTATACTAATTACGGTATCGGCGGCCATAGTCAATTTTTACTTGTTTCAGTCGAGTAGTGGGAATATACGCATTTTGCACTTTGAGTCGCCAATGTTCACGAAAAAAATTCCCTACGCAAGGGTTCTGAGATAAAGGTCAAAGATGGAAAACCTTTGATTTTGCGGTATTTGAAACACAATAACAAACGAACGGATTCTTGGTTTGTTGGTGTATCGAACTGATTTTACTGTTTGCTCGCTACAAAAACGCTGCGGCTAGCTCAGAGATATTGTGTGTTCGTCCCACCAGATTTTTACTGCGTTATTGCACGTGACCCAAGAAATTACAGGATGTCCAGTTGGGTCAAATCGGAAAACTTTAATGTTTTGCTTTTGCTGAAATTGTTGTGATCGTCAGCTGGCTGAGACCCCGTGTGCTTTCGATGCTCTCCGGCCTCTTGTGCTTCTCGATGCTTCGCACCGATCCGGCACAGCTTGCTGGACTAAGAATGTCCACCGTCTTGCCAGACACCGTGCACGCAGTCCTTCTCCATGCTAACCCTGCCGGGATCTCTTTAACGCCTCTGCTGTTCCTCCTATCCAATCTCTGAGATCCTCAGCCTTGTAGCATTAGCGGAACGGTACTCTCGCTACCACTCACTCCATTAAATCCTCGCACTTGTACTTTGGTTCTCCTTGTGTCGTAGATTATCTCGCGTATGCCGACCCTCGCCTGCGTATCTTGATTAACTGTCCCCAGTCGCGCTTGCGCCGTCCTTTTTAAAGGCCTTGGCTGTTTCGTTATTTCCCTTTCTGTGTGCTAGATTCGTCGGAAAGTATGTAACGGGTAGAAGGAAGCGTTTCCGACCCCATAAAGTGTATACATTCTTGATCAGGATCACTAGCCGAGTCGGTCTAGGCATGTCCGTCTGTGCGTATGAACGCTGAGATCTCGGAAACTATAAAAACCGCCGAAAACTGTGGCTTCTACAGTTTTGATGCTAGAATAAAAATTGTAACGGAAAAGTATTGTTCTTATCAATACCTATACGCCCACTTTAACTTTTTTGGTTCAATCGATAGGTATTGACGAGACTAATACATTCAGTTAAAATTTTTTAGCTAGCACGAAAATTGTGGGCGCAAGAGGTTTTGGCGGTTTGTGGGCGTGGCATAGTCGCGTAACAAACTTGCGCTGCGTACAAGGCAACGGAATCTAAATCTGAAATCCCAATATTTCTATCTTTGATAGTTTTCGAGATATTCGAGTTCATATTTGCGATTTTTTTAAGTTTGTGGGCTAAAGTGGGAGTGGCAAATTTTTTTTTGGGTAAATCGAAAGGTATTGATGGGAACAATACATTTCAGTTACAATTTTTATTCTAGCATCAAAACTGTAGGAGCCACAGTTTTGGGCGGCTTGGGCTGTTAAAACAATCTTGCGCTGCGTAAGAAGCTCAGGAATCTTCATGGTAAATCCCAATCGCCCAGCTATTATAGTTTTCGAGATCACAGCGTTCACACGGACGGACAGACAGACAGACAGACGGACATTAGAGCTAGAGAGTTGAAATTTCAGAATTAAATTCCTTTTTTCATACGCAGTGCATGTCTGTTTCGCGAACAAACCCAGCCAAAGCTGTGACGCCCACAGCTTTTATGCTAGGATAAAAATGTAAACAAAAATGTATTGCTTTCGTCAGTACCCATCGTTAGACGTTTATACATTTTTCTTATTTGGCACGCTTCATGAAAGTCGTGCAGTTTCTCACATACACAGGCATATTGTATTGCAGCGTGCCGAATGAAAAAATTAAAAAATTAATATTTACTTAGTAGATCGTATAATACATTTTCGTCACAAAGGTTGATATCAGAGATTTGTAATTTAAAGCGATGATCGACTAGTTTATTACTTTTTTAACGGTGGTTTTGCTTGAGTTTAAATAGTGAAGTATTGTATTGTATAGTTTTACACCTATCTGCATTGGTCAATTTGACCAAGAAATATTTTAGTGCATACACTATATCTTCTTTACTGCGTTATAAACTTATGAACAAAATGATACTCTCTAAAAGAGACTTATATACATTTATTGGGATTAGATATGTTTATTTAAAGCAAAATTGTATTTATTCGGCGTGGGAAGGGGCAACAATAAAATATATTCGCTATTATCCAGACGCCGTGGTGTTGTATGGACAGTAAGGGGACCTCAACAGGCATGCCAACAGGATGAAGCAACCATCTGCCGAGGGGGACAGGAACGCCATTAGTATGGCCAACAGTACCAGGTAAAAACACACCGTTGTGGCAATCATCTCCGCTGGTCTACGCTTCGAACTCAAGGAAGGTGTCTTGGCTCTCCGGCTTTTATGTACCAACCCAACTAAAGCTAATCGTAGTCTTAATTGCAGCTGCCGAAAGGCAAATATGTACAAGCTGTTGATCTTTACTTGATCAGTGTTTTCTAGCTAGCATTGTAAGTTAATTCATAGTTACGTATACTTCTTACGTAAATATAAAGATCTACAGATATGTAACTTTGTTTTTCTAGAGAGTTTACTTAGTGCAATAACTGATTCCACCATTAGGCTCTCTCATGGATTTCTAAATGCTACATCAAAAAAAAGGAGGTACGCTATAGTCGAGTACCTCGACTATCAGATACCCGTTACCCAGCTAAAGGGATTAAGGGGAAATGGAGATATGGTTATGGCAGACAGATTTAAGCGTTATGGGCGTTAAAGTGGGCGTTGAAAACTTTTTTTTGGGTCAGTCGATAGGTATTGACGAGACTAAAACATTTCTGTAAAAAATATTTTCTAGCTTTACAATTGTGGGCGCCACAGGTTTGGGCGGCTTGTGGGCGTTAGAGTGGGCGTGGCAAACTGACGATACAAACTTGGGCTGCGCAGGAATCTTTAGAATATGCAAGCCTAATCTCAGTATTGCAGCTTTTATAGTTTTCGAGAGCACAGCGTTCATACGGACACCCGGACATGGCTAGATCGACTCGGCTAGTGATCTTTGTCAAGAATATATATACTTTCTGAGGTCGGAAACGCTTCCCCCTAGGTGATACATATTTTCCGACGAATCCAGTACACTCGTTTTTTCTCTACGAGTAACGGGTATAATAATTTAAACCAAGAGATAAACAGACCTTGTCTAAAAAAAATTAGGGTTTGGTTTGTGGCCAAATCTTGTTTTGAGAACCCACTAGACAACCAATGGAATCTTAATACTAATACTCTTAATAAGAGGTATGGCAGGCAGAGGTCAAAATATCTGCTATACAAAACATAACACTAGAAAAAACAAAACACCTATGGCAAAACACTAGAAATAAGCACAAGCAAGGCGTGTACAAAAATATATATTTGTATAAAAGAATTTCCATTGAGAGCGCAAATATGTAAACCCATGAATGAAATTTGCCAAGGAGCAGCAGCAACAGATGACAGCCAAAAGTAAAGGGAATCGATGGTGCTCTTTCTTATAGACAAGTCCACAGTGATGGGTTTCCACCGGTGAACAGCACATGCGCTGTTTCGTGCACGTGGTGGAATCTGTCCGAAATTTATTACTAGCATAATATTGTACTTATGTGGACTCCATTGAAGTCGAAGACTTTAAACCCGGTTTCGCCAACCTGGACAAGTTAGTCCTGTACACGGATTCAGCAGAAACGGACGAGGTCGCACGCTCGGGAATCTCACCCCAACCTGAACCAAATAACCAGCATTCCGAACTCTCTCAGAGATATTTTCTTTTGAAGTGCGCTGACCGTCGGTCTTTTTGCTGGTTGTGCCGCCAAAGCAAATATTTTCTTCCGTGTTGGGTCGAGTGTAAGATATTTTTAGTAAATTGTGTGACGGACTGCCTATGCATTTGGTTTGCAAACAAATAAATAGTAGACAAGTGCTAAAAAAAACGGAACAGTTAAAGTTGACTGGAATAAGCTGGCCTCCATTTCCTGCTTTTTATACCTCGTATTATTTATAGTAGTGCAGTGACTAACCTCCGCCTTGGTGAGTATTTCGGCATTTACCAATAACTGGTAAAACTTTGCGTTGCGTTTCGAGATTTGCCAGAAACTTTCCTAAGCAAAGGCTATCCTATATCGATGAATATTTAATATTATCCATTTCAAAATTATCATTAGCCGTTCCCTGAAAAGTACAGTTCTACCAGTCTGCCTCTAGTGACAGAATGTAGAAAGTTATCTAGCTATCAAGTCTACCGAAATTTTAAATTGTTTACTTTCTTAGGAGGAAAACAGAAAGCTCGTTGTTTGAATGAGAAAAAGTTTGACGAAATTAATTAAAAGACCGCAGAACTTGTCGTTATTCGGAAACAAAAAAGTTGGAAAGGCTGGAGTTCCATTTACTGGGTCTCCCTTTTCGTGATAGCCCCAACGGTACTTTCCCCTTTTTTTATCATTCATCTTGTCGTCCTATGAGCCTCATTAATTTTCAAACCAATTTTAACACATTAAATTACAGAAACATAACTTTGCAGCCAATGAGCCTCCTTTGCGGACTTCAGGGCCGATGAAATAATTCCATAATTTGGAAAAGATAATGTGGGTGTTCCTTATTATCTCTTCCTAGAGCGTCCCTAGAAAGGTCAAGGCAGGGGGCCTTAGGATGTTGTTAGGTCCCTCATCCGGTTTGAAATTTTCTTTATTTGGACAGCGGGGTTCCGAATCTAATTAACTTCGGACGGTCTTATGCCCAGACACAGGGGCGAAAAGCCAAGTATAAGAAAGTCTTTGAAAGTCAACACTACTCATCAGCTGCAAACGGCATTAAATTAAGGAACCTTTTTTTATAGAGATAAGCTTCCTGAGGGAACCCGATTCTTTTGATATCGAGCAAATCCCTAGCTCAATCCTTTTTTGTTCGTGTCAATGTCACCGAAGCTCAATGACATTTACGGGATGATCAGAGTGCCGGACGGGAAATTAGTCCATCAGTAAACCAAATCATAATTGGGGAGCGACAGGGTCACATCAGCAGAGATCACATCAAGACTGTCAGTCCCCTGGAGACGCTGGGACGTTTCTCGATTTGGCGAACAAACTGAAAAATGTGTAAAAAGGCAGCGCAATTATTGCCATAGCCAGATATCCCGACCATAAGCTCATAAAAAACAAGGAAGAACACTATAGTCGAGTACCTCGACTATCAGATACCCGTTACTCAGCTAAAGGGACCAAAGGAAGATGGAGATAGGCAAGCAGCAAAGCGAGATTGTAATGCGCCACCTAACCGCGATCTCAATATATGGATATGTAGGCGGCGGACAGACTTAAGCGTTATGGGCGTTAGAGTGGGCGTGCTAAACTTTGTTTGGGTTAATCAATAGGTATTGACGAGACTAATACATTTCAGTTGAAGTTTTTTTCTAGGATGAAAAAATGAAAGTTGTGGGTGCCACATGCTGGAGCGGCTTGTGGGCGTTAGAGTGGGCGTGGCATATTTGCGTAACAAACTTGCGCTGCGTACAAGGCTACGGAATCTAAATCTGAAATCCTAATTCTCTATCTTTTATAGTTTCGGAGATATCCACGTTCATATGTACGATTTTTTGAAGTTTGTGGGCGTTAAAGTGGGCGTGGCAAACTTTTTTTTGGGTCAATCGATAGGTATTGATAAGAAAAATACAGTCAGTTAAGCAGCTTGCGCTGCGCAAGAAGCTCAGAAATATGCATGCCAAGTCCCAATAGTCTAGCTCTTATAGTTTCCGAGATCTCAGAGTTCATCCGGACGGACGGACAGACGGACATGGGTAGATCGGCTCGGCTAGTGATCCTGATTAAAATATATATACTTTATGGGCAGGACTCGAACCACAAACCCTAAGGCCCGTGCATCAAAAACGATGAGCTTACAGTCGCTTTGCTGAAGCCCGGTAAATCGGTGAGGATCCAAGTACCATCTTTTACCAGTGAGGTGGATTCCTTTTCCATGGATTCTCTCCAGTAAGCTGCCTGCTTGCCAATCGTCGCTTCTTTGTATGTACCAGGAAGTAAAAACTCATGTGTAGTCACAGAGTTCTCGGACGGCCGGGTTTGCCAGTTCGGACCAGCTTTGGTCTGCCAGGACCGATCCGCACGCCTTCCATCTGATGTCCGTCTGCCTCACGATTCTCATCGTCGTTCTGGAACTCTGTCGGTAAGTCCACCGGCTCGGATTCAGCCTCCTCTGCGCTTTGGAATTCTTCGCTCAAAATGTCTTTCTTCTCGAATTCATCTGGCCGCATTTTGTCCGTTTTTAGCAAGGATATGGTTCAGGAAGAATGGGATGGCTCGTCGGCATCCACAGCATGATTCTTGCCATCTCGACAAGGGTACGGTTGGCACGTTCTGAGAAACGTAGTCTGTGAACATACTCTGCACGCAAGAATATGAGCGGTTGCACCTGAATCCATACACCATCTTGAAGGTTCCAGGTCCTTTGCTACGGCCGCTGCCAGAACCGTGAAGGACTTAGTGATATGCAGCTTTTCCCTCTTGTAATGACCACGCTGGCCACAATTGTAGCACTGTACATTTGCCTTCTTTTTCTGCAAAACCGCAGAAGTTGGAGCCTGCTCCACCTAGACCTGGAATGCCTGTTGCTCGTTTCGGGAAGGACCTGGTTCGCTTGCACTGCGTTCTCCTTCTTCTAGCAACTTGATCTTTAGCCGCTCCAGGGAGGGCAGCTTATCACGAGTTTCCATGGCGATGACAAAGTTCTCATAATCTTTGGGTAAACTAGAGAGCAAGATTGCCACAGCAATTTTTTGTAAAGCGACACCTTTCTGCTTGGCTCATGCACATCCTTCAGCAGTGTCCTAGCATCTGTTGCTGTTGTGCAGTTCATCAAGTAGCCTAACTGTTTTATTAATATTAAGTAAATATACATCAATTAACAAGGAAGAACGCTATAGTCGAGTACCTCGACTATCAGATACCCGTTACTCTGCCAAATGGACCTAAGGGAAATGGAGATATGCAAGCAGCATAGCGAGGATGAAGTGCGCCACCTACCGGCAATAGAGTTAGAGTGGGCGTGGTAAGCTTTTTTTTGGGTCAATCGACAGGTATTGAGGAGAACCATACATTTCAGTTAAAATTTTTATTCTAGCATCAAAACTGTAGGAGCCACAGTCTTGGGCGGTTTGTGGGCGTTAGAGTGGGCGTGGCACTCTGCTGAAACAAACGTGCGCTGCGCAGGAAATTTGATTAAATTTGATTATTTATAGGTCTATAATATAACGTTATAGTACATATAAATGCTTATAAATATATAAATCTAAATTAATGCATTGTAAAGGTGCGCTGGAAATAAAAGAATAAATATGAGAGAAGAAGAAGAGCAAAGAAGAAGGGTCTAACGCGTGCTAACTGCAAGCCGAAAGATACTAACGCGTTAAAAAAAAAAGATACGCTGTTCTATTTTTAGTCCTTTCCGTTCTTACTTTAAGAACATTTTGATATTATTGACCATAATTATTTGATATTATAAGACCAAATTGAATTTGATTTAAGAACCACGTGCCAAATGTATAACATTTCGTTCATGTTTTGAGAATAATTTTGATTTAACCAAATTTTAAGAACAAACTTAACTTGAATCAATCACAATGATAACATTTTGAGCTCAAAAAATGTCGTTCTCATTTTAAGAACATTCTCAACTCAACGTCAGAATTCCCTCTGTGTACGCAAAACGGAACTTGACTTGGGCTTACTCTAGTAAAATGCAAAAATGTGCGAATTGAGGCTAAAGCAATAACTTTACTTCTAAAATGGATTCATGTAGCTTTCTATCGAGTCTGTTACCAAGGAAATGTCTCCATTTGTTTTTTTATACCCTTGCAGAGGGTATATTGATTTCAGTCAGAAGTTTGCAACGCAGTGAAGGAGACGTTTCCGACCCCATAAAGTATATATATTCTTGATCAGCATGACTAGACGAGTCGATCTAGCCATGTCCGTCTGTCCGTCCGTTTCTACGCAAACTAGTCTCTCAGTTTTAAAGCTATCGGGCTGAAACTTTCCCAAAAGTCGTATATCTTTTGCAGGTAGTATATAAGTCGGAACCAGCCGGATCGGACAACTATATCTTATAGCTCCCATAGGAAAAATCGGACAAAAAAATTTAAAAAAATTATATCTTTGGTGTTTTTTAGAATATAAACTCATAAGCTTGGAAATAACATTTTTTAATTAGTTCTGAATTTCGAATTTAATTTTATCAAAATCGGACGACTATATCATATAGCTGCCATAGGAACGATCGGAAAATTGGTGGAAAAATAATATGAAACAAATTATAGCTTCGGTGTTTTTCAACATATAACCTCCTACGCTTGGAAATAAAATTTTTAAATTAGTTCTGCATTTTGAGTTTAATTTTATCAAAATCGGACGACTATATCATATAGCTGCCATAGGAACGATCAGAAAATTGGTGGGAAAATAATATAAAACAAATTATAGCTTCGGTGTTTTTTGACATATTATCTTATACTATTGGGAATATAATTTTTTGTTTTTTTAAATTTAATAATTATAACTGCAAGGGTATATATAGGCTTCGGCTTGCCCAAGCTAACTTCCTTTTTTGTTTATTCACTAAGTTACAACTTCACAACATTTCCTTAGTATCGACTTTTATTCAACGGTTCACAATTCTTTTCTTATTCAACCGATCTTCTCGGATGCAAAAACGGACTGTCTAGCCAAGGGCCGCTTATCTGATAAACAAACCTCGGTTTAAGAGAATTGGGGAACTCATTAAGAGTTGGACAAGGGTTGGACTCAAGAGAGTCGGGAAATCGGATGATCAAATTCTCTGCTTGATTGCTAAACGGATTACGATGCAGTTTTGGGGCTCGCCGGGTGTTGACCGGATGCTTGTGTTTACATTAGCTGGACCCAGCTTAGTTTATGTTAGGAGGACTGCGGCGCAATTGAATCTTAATAATGAACTTCGATTGAAGTGGGGGAGCTAATTGGGATTCTGTGGGAAGGCTGAGT